GACCTAGATCAAGTCAGCAAATAAGCAAAAATTGGGAACTCAGCCAGAGGTTGGAAAAGGCAGAACACAGAAGACTCCAGAAGCGAATCGGGGAATGTACATCTTCAACAAAATGGGACCAGGGGGCTAAGAGTGGCCTATTGGCCTGGAGCCTCAGTGTTCGTGATTTCTATATGCGTCTGGAAGTGTGGCACAGTGTCTTCCTCTGCCTCTCCGCTGTCCTTCTGGGTTTCAGCTGAGCCCTTAGAGAGTGGGCAGTGGGGTGACGGCTCCTCTCCTGCTGATAGCGAACAGGGGCCTGGGAGGGCCGGTGCCTGCAAGCCCGGCTGCATCCCTCCATGGGAAATGGAGAGCTTGGTGGTGCTGGACCCCGTCAGAGGGTCTGTTTCCTTGTGAGTAGAATCTCCATTTCCACTCAACATCTTATCAAGCTCTTAGGCCTGGAATATCTGTACCCGTGGAAGACAATCACGCAACTCGTGTTTCCTTGGCGTAAGTGCTTTCCACGGAAAGGCCTTCCTCTTTGTGTCTGACTGACGCTGTTATTAAGCTGATTCTGTATTTCCCAGACCACACTGGCTGCTGGAGGAGAGGAAGAAAACCCCCAAAGTCTTAGAGGAGAACAATGACAAATTGGCTGCAGGTCGAGCAATTGTCCTGGGTTACCTGAGATGGATGGACATCCCCGCAGCTCATTAAAGATCTGAGCTCTGTTTGTACAATGCCAGTGTGGACCTCTGGGCAGTGGCTGAATTTTTAGCACTCATTTCCAGCTCCTTGAACTTTTCTACTTCACTTAGCCGGCACAGGAATAAGCCAGCTGGGTGACTAAAGAAAACAAATCACTGGAAATGATTATAAAAACGTCTACACAATGTGCCTCACAGAGGAAAACAAGGAAGGTTCTAGAATATTAAACAGAAAAGGACCTGATCAGAAGCCAGGCCATAAATCTAAGTGTGGAGCAAGGCAGTGTGGTGCACTGATCAAGGATTTAAGCCTGGAAATAGACTGCTTTGTGTCCAGTTCCCAGCTTGCCCTTTCCCGAGGGTGTAACTATTTAATTCCTCTAGCTTCAGCTTTTACATCTGTAACGTGAGAATCATCAAACCTGCCTTTCAGAAATGTTGTATCAGATGCGATGTGAAAGCTGAGGGTAGCGCCTTCTAGTGCAGAGATACCAGGCAAGGGACAGCAGCGTTAAGAGTTACGCCCTCACGGGGAGAATCTTCTCACTCATAGGAAAATCAGTTCTTCCCTGTGATGAGGTTTTTGGGGTAGTAGTGGAGTTCGTGGGGTCTGGAGCCGACGACCAAGAAAGAATTCCTGAAGACCTCTTTGGTGCAAAAAGGTGATTTTATTGAAGTACAGGGACAGGATCCATGGGCGGGAAGAGCTACCCAGCCCGTGAGGAGAGACTGGTTATAAACTAAGCGGTTGGGGGAGGTAAAGTCCAGAAGTTTTCAGTGAGATTTTCACATGCTAAAGAAGCCTCACCGTATCGTGGAGGCCTAGCTATTGTCAAACTGAGATTATTTTTCCCTCTAGCAAATCATTAACATTAAGACAGTTAGGAGATCCTGGAGAAACAGTTTACTCTGCCGACCTCAAGTACTTGTCAATGGGCTGCAGGTTATAAGGAAATTTAGTTCTCTCTGCAGTTTCCGTCTGCCTTTGTTCCCCACGTCACTATGGAGGGATGATGAAGGCTTAGGTCCTGTGGGACTGTGAGCTCTGTCAGTTAACCATTTGTTTTTTCCGTTTCCTTTGTTTTTGGGGGCAGCCAAATATCACATATATCCCACCTGGTGGGGGGTGGGGGTGGGAGATGTTCTCGGCCAGTCAGCTTGCCTTATGCTCCCTCATCCCCTGTATCTTGGATTAGAAATTTCCATGGAGAAAAAAAAAAAAAGGCTTCTTTGATTCCAGCCTAGTGACGGATGTTTCCCTGCCCCGCATCCCAGTGATGCGGGTGTCATGCTAGCTGGGGGTGGGAGAGGAGAAACAAATCACTGAGAACACGAGCGGTGGTGGAGCCGGCCTGCTCCATCTGTTTTACTCCTGCTTCACTCCACGTTATTAGGCAGCCCATAAAGAGGGCTGTAAAGACGTGGGGCTGCCTCATTTCCAGGTGAGAATTTCCCTCAGATCTTATCTCTGCCCAGCCCCAAACAGTAGGCCCTGAGACTCCAATCTTGGTTCTGCTCTGAGCCCTTGAACTTGTACTAGCTCCTCCCTGCTGGCGGACCTCAGCTTTCCCTGATGCACCAGGTCCTCCTTCTAGAAGTCACTCCTGACTCCAGCCACTTGGCCAACACCCTTGTCCAGCTGGTCGCCTCTTTCCACAAGACGGGGAAGTCAGGCTGGGTGTCCTAACTGTTGAACCCCAAGCAGAATGTGTTCCAGGGATTCGAGGGAAGGAGAGGTCCCTGAGAAGGGTAGTCAGGTTTTGCAGAGGGACGCGGGACCGGGGGGGGGGGGGGGGGGGGGGGGGGGGGGGGGGGGGGGGGGGGGGGGGCGGACGATCCTTCACATCAGAGTCTCGTATGCTATTATGGCTTAGTTCCGGAATTGGCAAATCATGGGTCCAAGGCCAGATCCAGCCCACCCCCCATATCTGTAAATAAAATGTTGGTGGCTCCCTGCCAGAGTCATTGTTTCAGTGCTACAACAGCACAACTGTGGAGCTGCAACAGACGCTGTGTGTCCTACAGAGTCTAAAATGTTTTCTACCAGGCCCTTTACAGAAAAGGGCTGCCGACCCCTGCCTCAGTGCATCCAACTTTGCCAAGCAGTAAGTGATCTGAGGAACCCAGCCCAGTGAGATTGCTTCACCAAGACACGATAGTCCAAAACACTGGGAAAACATAATGTCCCCATACCCCAGGGCTATTTAACAATGCATTTTAGTGGATTAGAGGCTCCAAAAATCCTACTCGTAAGAACTTGTTTATTCTTTTTTTTTTCTTTCTTTTTTTTTAAATTTTTTTTTAAATTTTTTTTTTTACAAATAGTTTATTGTCAAATTAGTTTCCACATAACACTCAGTGCTCATCCCCACAAGTGTCCTCCTCCATGCCCATCCCCCCCTCCCCCCCACATCCGTCAGTCCTCAGTTTTTGTCAGCATTCAAGAGTCTCTCATGGTTTGCCTCTCTCCCTTTCCCCCACCATTTCCGCCCTTCTTCTCCCCCTTGTTCCCCCGTCAAGTTCCTCCTAATCCTCCTATACGTGCAAACATATGATATTTGTCCTTCTCTGCCTGACTTATTTCGCTCAGCAGAACTTGTTTATTCTTTAACTAGTATTTCCCAAACTCGTTTGATCTACCAAAGCTTTTTTTTTCCCCCTCTCAGAATACCTGTTAACAATCTTGAGAAGCTAGCATTCTGTGGACACCTCTGGTAAACACTAGTTAGGTGGAGGGATCCTGCGCTGAGTGATGGGGGGGTGGGGGAGAGTAGGGGGTAGTGTAGAGGGGAAGGGGGTGGGGTCTCACCTGTCCCCGCCTCTAATAAGCCAAGTGATCTTGACTGCACTACATACCCCCAGGTCCTGCTTCCTCATTGGTTGAATGGGTTAATGTGGCTGCCTAATCTCTCTCTCTATCTCCTATAGGTTCTTCAGGCAGGTCGCTGAGATAACATTCATGAAAATGGTCTGAGGCTAGACCACAGTGGTGTCACTAAGTTTTTCTAAAATTAGTTTTGCTTTGATACATTGCTTAGCAATGACGAAGTGGAGAAAGCACTAAATCAAGGTTATGCGCTCTTTTTTCTGATCTTTACTCTATTACTAAGTGGGTTTAAACAATTTCCTTCTCCCCCACAAGGCCTCAGTTATGTCACCCTAGAGTGATTAACTTCTAAGGACCTAGTAACTCTGAAATTCTATGATTCCCTTTGGTTAGATGTTTTCAACTTCCCTACTTATCCAAAACATTGGGGTCTCTCTCACCAAACTTGCAGACTAAATCTCCATGATTTTCTGGGGATAATGTCTGAGTTCAGCACCAGTTATGAGGATGTATTAATGAAGTGTTTCTGGCGTTGCTGACAGCCTAGGAGGCAGGGGTGATTCTTCTGGAAATGTCGACTTGGCAATTCTCAACTTGATACTGGAGGCTTTCTTTTCTTTCTCTTTCATTGCTCAAAGGCTGCTTTGCCCAAACGCAAAGTTGAGATAGCTGGGTAACAGATTTGGCAAAATGAAAGAACAGATGTAGTCCCCGAAAGACAGTGGGACCCAGGGTGGAGCCAAAGTTCCCCAATAGGCATGGGATGAAGTGGTTATAAAAGCAGAACCCACATAAAATTCCTTCTGGCCACCTTCTCTGTTACCCACCTCCCTCCCCCTCAAATAATCATTTCCCAGCTTCATCAACAGTCCTTTATCTCAAGGATTTAGAGGCAGTTGAACAAGAGGAGCTTTATGAGGATGGTGAGAATCTACTGAAAAATACCCCGTCACCCATGAATTTAGGAAAATCCCAGAAAATCTTGCCTCGGTCAAAAGGTCTATATCATAACAAGTATGGGCCCAAATGTGGGGGAATGATTTGAGGAATGAGGTTTGTTCCTTCTGGTTTCTATGGAGAAACGACCTGCCTATGGAGTCACCCCGGGGACTCCCAAATGAAAGGGGACTCAGAGTACTTCAGAGGCTGCTGAGCCCATGCCATTCAGCCAGTCAGCCACTCAGCCACAAATACTTACTGGGGGCCCTACTAAGCTGGAAGTTCTCTGGGGACATAGTGAGGTGGATCAAACACAACTACTGCCCTATAGGAGCTTAGAGTCTACTTGGGAAGGCAAGCCTCGTATACGGGAACATGATTAAATGTGTGCAGCAGACTGAGGGCTAACAGACTGAGAAGAGCAGGTGCCTAGCAAGGACTAGGAATGGTGGCTAAGAATTTGTCATAATGGGAAGTCTCTTCCATTTTCAAACTCCCAGAAACGGAAGTTCCACACTTTCCAAGGTGACGACCTTTGCCAGTATTTAATAAATCCTTTCTTGAAGCCTTCTTGGAGTCATATATCACCTTTGGCTGTGGAAAATGCTGGACTTTCCTGGGCCCAAGAATGGCCAGCCTCTGCTTCCCGGCATGGAGACCCAGGTCCATTGGCTCCCCTCTGTATAGGTAGAGAAAGGATGAGAAAAGGCTGAAGTCGTGGTGTTTGGTCCTGGGTCTCTTTCCATGGTGACTGTATAGCTTATTGTTCCATTCCTTGGGGGCCAGGGTGCCTCTCTGGGACAGTCAGGCTGACCCGAGTAGGAGAGTCATCCCAGAACATCTTCCTTTCCATGCGGGGCAGCTGGCCTGGCTGGAGGCACAGTTCCAGTAACTGCGTCATCTGAATCAAGGTGACCCCTGCTGCCGTTTCTGTTTCCTGAGCTGCACAGACACAGAGCATGCTGTGAGGGTGCTGGCAACTGAATTTGATTCCCTGAGTACCCCCCCTTCCCTAACCCCTACAACCTTATGGGAACTTTCTGACACAGATGAATTGCAGTTGAGCCCTTGGATTGAAAAGGATCGGGCCAGGCCCTCGGGGTCCTGGGGGCGATCATCTTAGCCTCTTCCACTTGCTCCCAGAACATCTTGCCTTCTCTTCATCATAGCTAAACACCATGGGACACTCATTTGAAGAGTATTGAAACCTAGCTGGAAGAGGCTTTCGGCTGGGCCATCACGCAGAGGGTGCAAATGTAGGTTGCTCCCACACCTGGTCCCTGGGGTCCTATTGTCTGTCGCTGGCCTGGCCCCTGCAGCTCACATGCCCACAGCTAACATATGCCTTGCCATCCTCTGAAAGATCTTCTCCTTCTGCTCGGGGATGTCCTTGAGGCACAAGCACAGACATGATTTTCCCATTTCATTGATGAACCAAGGCCAGGACTGGTTACATGGCTCAGTCTAGATTTCAGCATTTCTACATCCAGCACCAACTGTGACCCCACCCAGTCCGGAGGGTGTCCGGTGGGAACGAGCACTGCCTCCCCCAGCATTGGGGCTACTTCCGCTGAACTCACGCATACTATTTCTCCGCAGCCTCCTTTGCAACAAGACAAGAGCCACAAGCGCCAGGGGGAAGAGCACCGTGGAGACAGGAGTCAGGATCCGAGAGATGTTTTTCTCTCCTGGAGAAGCCCTGGAGTGGAAGTCACAGAAGGGAGGAGGGAAAGAGCGTAGGGGAGGGTGGGTTGGAGCTGGACAGGAGACGGAAGGCCATTTGGTCCTCGCCCCTCGCCTTGCAGGTGAGAAGTTGAGGTGGGGGAAGTCGGCTGCCCTCATTCCCACAGCGCATCAGCCGCCGAGTGAGGACAGGAGCCCCTGTCTTGTCCCTGCTGCACGGCGTGTGATGGGGGTTGACTGCCACGTGTCACGGTGGGAGAGAGGGCTGAGGGAGAGGCAGGGAATGCACCCTGGGCAAGGAGCTCTGCCCCATGGCTTCACGTCCTTCCCCTGTGGCTTCAGCAAGTACCTCCCCTCCCTGGAGCACTTGTTCCTCATCTTTAAAAAGAAAGTCCCAAAGCTTCCACCTAAACATTCTGTTACTCTTTTGTTTTGATCTTTGCTTGAAAACCACATGAAAATACTCAGGGTTTTTTAGCAAGGATCCTTGAACAAGGAAGGGTCTGTGATGTTTGTGGGCCTTGCCCTTTGCTGTCCTGAGGTTAGAGAGGGAGAGAAGTGAGCAGATAGAGGGGGGTGCGGAGGTCAGCCCAGGGAAGGACATGCCTGGAGCAGGGCAGAGAGGAGGGGCTGGGAGTTTACCTCTTCATGGAAGACTCCTTGCCCAGGGGCCTCCAGGGTGCAGCTGCCAGGGCCTGGCTCGGTGTTGCTTGGGGATGGCTGTGTCCAGCAGGCGTGTCTAGGTCCCCTTCAGTAGCCCCCTCAGGAGATGCCGCCTCTATGCTGGAGGGCCCCGGGGTCCACACGCCTGCACCTGGGGTCGTTCTTTCAATGGGCGCCAGGGCTTGGGGCTTAGGAATGGCTGTTGTTTCTTGCAAGATTTCCTGCATCCATTTTTCAGAGACCAGAGTTGTTGACCTCATGGTCCCTATGACCTTTCCAGCTACATCCAGAGCTGCTCTGACCCTCTCTGTTTCTTCTTGTGGACTACTGGCCTCAGAAGTTGTTACCTCCCTCCCCTCCTCACCAGGCCTAACCGTATTCCCTACGGAGCCTCTGCTGTCCCACGCCCAAACACCTTCTGTCGTGTTGGACACACCTCCGATTGTTGAAGCCAAACTCTCTGGAGCGGGGACTGTTGTCCAGACAGTACCCTCTACCCGACTACCTGTCCCTAGAGCTACTGCCCCACTTGTTCCTGGAGTCTGCCTGGCCTCAGCGGAAGTGGCTGTTTTCCTGGCTCCTGGAGTCAGAGCAACTTTGTGGAATCCTGTCCCTTGTCTTTCTATTAGCCAGGAGGTTCCTGGGGTCCGTCCATTGGCCGCAGGTGATGCTGTTCCCAAGGAGGCCATGCCAAGCTCACCGGCAGCCAGAGTGGGTGTGGGGACAGTGCTGGAAAGACCTGTGAAGGGTGGAAGGAGACGGCATAGGAAGGCTCTCCCAGCCGCCTACAGGGTTTAGCAAAGGACCCCAGGCTTAGAGTGTTTGCCGCAACGAATGCAACCTCATTACGCAATGCAGTGTTTGGTCAATATGTTGGATAAAATAAATATACGGGAAAACCAGATGGAATCTCTAATCTTTTTGCAAATATTGACATTTTATGGTTCTCTCTCTCTCTCTCTCTCTCTCTCTCTCTCTCTCTCTCTCCTCACACACTCTGTACTGAGCTGTCCTGCCTGCCCATGCTGGCCCCTTTCCCACCACATACTGGTCCTCAAATAGAGCAGCCAGTCTCGGCAGACAGTTAGAGTGACATCGAACAAGACAAATGCAATCCAGGCACTGCCGGCTCCCCAACATGCCACCTCTCCTGGCCATCCACTGCCTGGCCACCCTTTCCCGGGCTCTGGGTGCCCAACTCCAGGTCACTTCTCTGGAATCTGCCACCCAGAATGTGGACCTTGTAGCTGTCAGATGTCTGCTAAGGGACTTGGTCTCAGGAAGAGCCTCTTTTGTCCTGCATCTCTTACCTTCTCTGCTTGTCTGAACAAAGAGACACCATGAACTTAAGAAGCCACATTATTCAATTCACTCCCTTCTTGGAGTCCTCTCCAAAAATACATGCCACAAGATGTGGGGAGATTTGAGTGGGACAGTCTGCATGCATTCATTTTGGAAGCTTTTCCTAATATCTACCTTCCTTCTGAAGGTAAGGTAATTTCTTTCTGAAATGAAAGCTTACTTCTTTTTTTTTTTTTTTTTTTTAGTTTATTGATTTATTTTGAGAGACAGAGACAGAGCAAGCAGGGGAGGGGCAGAGGGAAGAGAGAGAGAGAAAGACAGAGAGTCCCAAGCAGGCTCCTCGCTGCCAGTGCAGAGCCAGACGGGCTTGAACTCAAGAAACTGTGAGATCATGACCTGAGCCGAAACCAAGAGTTGTATGCTCAACCGACTGAGCCCCAGGCGGCCCTGAAAGTCTACTTCTAAAAGCCCTTGCCCCACCCCAGCTTTTCCTCATCACTCCCCTTGGGCTTAAAGACCTCTTGGACCCGGCAGTCTTCTCCTGCACCTTCTCCTTCCCAGCATTCACTGCACCAAACTTGACCCACATGCCATCAGCTCGTACCTGCAGGGACGGTCAGATTCATGCTGAAGAAGAACATGTCGTTTTTCTTCCCAATGCCACAGCGGTAGTGGCCCGCGTCATCCGGGGACAGTTGGGACAGCCTCACCACAAACAGGCCTCTCTGCGGGAAGTCTGTGAGAGCCACGCGGCCCCGGTAGCCAAGGTGAGTGTAGTGGGTGGTGGACACAATGGTATGGCAGAACCACGTCAGGGGGCTGAGACGGCACCAGTATTTCCGCTCGTATTTGTTGATGGACAAGGGGGCATAACGGCACTGGATGGTGACAGTTCCCCCCAGCTCCCCAGACACCAGCCTCGGGCCCTTCAATGCGTTTGCAGCTGCAGGCAGAGAAAGGGGGAAAAATTGTCAAAGGAAAGGGAGAGCTGAGTATAGTCACTGTGGCGAGGTACAAGCTCCAAATTCTGCCAGAACCAGGGAACAGGCCAGAAAACGCCTTCCTGAAAGTAAAGCAAGAAGAACCCGTATAGAGATATCAGAGCTTAGCACCTGGGTCAGGAGCACCCCAACATATGGAATGCAGCTCATTCACCATGGTAACGGCAGAGCATTAAACCCAGCCCTTTTAGCTCATCGAGATGGCCCTGCGTGTTGTGTATGTCCTGAGGTCTAATTCTAGAAGACTCGGGGTCATAAATGCCATGACTGTATCAATATTCACTGTAGGTTTAGTTACCTGACGTACCACCAACTATGCCACTCTTAATAAGCATGAGTGGCAATTTATCATTAAAAGTCGAGAATATTAACAGTTACCAACAAGGACCTTCTCAGGAAAACAGCGGTAGTGCCCTGATAAAGCGTTGGTGCCCTCGCTTTGAGGAATTCTTGTGATCTACAAGATCTTGTGATACTTGTACACACAGGACTGTCTTTTCTTGTATGTCTCTTCCACGAATCAGCAGGATAGGGCTGTCCGACCTCGCAGTAGAAAGCTGATTAAGAATCTTTAACCAGGGGCAGCTGGGTGGCTCAGCTCAGGTCATAATCTCATGGTTTATGAGTTCAAGCCCCACATCAGGCTCACTGCTGTCAGCACAGAGCCTGCTTTGGATCCTCTGTCTCCCTCTCTCTCTGCTCCTCCCCTGCTGGCACTCTCTCATTCTCTCTCAAAAATAAATAAACTTTAAAAAAAAAAAAAAAGAAAAAGAGTCCTTAATCCGCTCTTGCAATTAACATTTTTTCCTTTTATTGATACCAAATTTAACTTGTCCTTAAGAACTCATTTGGTAGATTACTGATCAGTGGCTCCTAGTTATATATAATTAAGGTGTATATGTTATATTACATATAATTTGGAATATATTTGGTATGTACTATATGTCATTTGGAATTTAAAAAAATTTTTTAATGTCTTATTTTTTATGAGAGAGAGAGAGAATGTGAGCAGGAGAGGAGCAGAGAGAGAGGAAGACAGAATCCAAAGTAGGCTCCAGGCTCTGAGATGTCAGAGCAGAGCCCCAAACGGGGCTCAAACTCACAAACTGTGAGATCATGACGTGAGCTGAAGTCAGATGCTTTAACTGACTGAGCCACCCAGGTTCCCCTACGTCACTTGGAATTTTTTATTCGTCACCCGGGGGAATTAAAGAAAGAGCTAGCTAGCATTTTAGAATCAGCGTGGTGCCCATCTGGGTCCCTGATGCAGATTCTCTGCCTGTCAGTGGAGGCGGATGCCCTGAACGCATTCACCCATCATTTCCCGGCGGTCGTCTGTTACTATGGCTTCTCCCGGAGAGGAGCAAGGGTGGGGGGGCCTGCAGATGTGGGGTGGCCATGGACCCGAGACCGTCTCTGTGAGAGAGCACAAGAGGTCTGAGGCGGGACGGAGGGAGAGTGGTTGCACCTGCGATGGATGGCTTCTCCCTCCCACAGAGGGGTGAGAAAGGAGTGTGTTTCCTTGGGGCGGGGCCCGGAGGGCATCTGAGATGGGGTGTTCTGTGTGGAGGGGTCAAAGCAGAACCTGGGGCGAAGGGAAGACATGGACCATCAGGGGATCATCTAAGTTCACAAATGTGCCCACAAGGAGACGAGCCAGCTCTAAACTCCTGCCAGGCCAGAGCGCTCCAGGCCACCCCAGCAAGCAGAGCTCCCTGTCTTCTGCCTCTCCTCTCTTTTGCTCCTGGGACCCTACTGGGTCCTGAGCACCCACTGCAACATGGGGTGGAGACAGAAGAGAGCAACAGAGAAGACGGCCACCGCGTCCCCCGCGGCGCCTTCCTGACCGCAGGCCCTGGGTAGATGAGGGGGCATCTGGTTGAAGGAAGATTAAAGTGCCAACCAAAATATTTAACTGCACACTTAGAAATGTCAAATCTAGCATCTGACAGTTAAAGAAATCCAGTCAGAACTCTTACCTACATTAATACGTTAACAGAAAAATCATGGACCTGCCTGAGTTTTCATTTGGGGACATTTGCTTCTACTGAAAAATTTTGAAAGGGCTGGTGGGAGATTAAAATAAAGACATGGTCTGATTCTATTACAGAGAGTTCTTGCTCACATATTAGCTACCATTGATTCATTAAAATTCTGATTTGTTTGGGGCTCCTGGGTGGCTGTTGGTGAAGCGTCTGACTTCAGCTCAGTCATGATCTTGCAGTTTGTGAGTTTGAGCCCAGCATCGGGCTCTGTGCTGACAGCTCAGAGCCTGGAGCCTGCTTCAGATTCTGTGTCTCCCCGTCTCTCTGCCCCTTCTCTGCTTGCGGTCTGTCTCTCCTTCTCAAAAATAATTAAACATAAGTGCGTCTGGGTGGTTCAGTCGGTTAAGCGTCCAACTTTGGCTCAGGTCATGATCTCACAGTTCATGTTCGAGCCCCGCGTCGGGCTCTGTACTGACAGCCAACTCAGAGCCTGGAGCCTGTTTTGGAGTCTGTGTCTGCCTCTCTCTCAGACCCTCATGCTGTCTCTCTCTCTTGTAAATAAATAAAACATTTTTAAAAAATTTTTAAATAAACATAAATAAAGTAAAATAAAATAAAACGTAGACTGCAGCACATAGGGCCACTCATCTTCTGAGCCGGACCTATACCTGGCCAGGCTCCCACGCCAGCCTGCCCGCACCTGTTGCAAGATTCTGTCTTTTATCCACCTATTCCCAGTGCTGGGCATACGGTCAGCCCTCCAGAAATGAATGTTGACTTAATCAGTAAATGCATAGATATAAATTTTATTTACCCGTCTAGTTTCTTTATAAACTTTGAACTCCTTTTGTGTAGGACAGGTCTGCACCTCTAAGTCCTTGGTACTGGGCCTGAGTGTCTTTGAATGAGTGGGAAGGAGCAATCTGCCTTCTGTCTTTAATACACATGCCCTGGACCCCTTTCTTGGAAATGCAGCCAACTTTCAGTCATCAACTTGAATGGAAGAGAACAGAGATATTGGGAATATCAAAACAGTGAATCTTCTAGAAATGATCAAATCAGGCATCTGCCCTCTTGTGTGGCCGCTTGCCTCTCCTATTCCCCCTGGACTTAGATCTGACCGTTCCCCGGGTCCACTGCATGGCCTTGGATCCCCAGAGAGAAAGCCAGGGGTATGTCCAAACTGCCGTGGGAGCCCTGAACGCCACCAAGGGCCCTCCAGGAGCCTCTGCAGCCTGGAAGGCACGGGGCTCGTTCTGCAAGCTCTGCAACTGGGCCAACACTTGTTTGGGACTCACCTTGCAACAGACACAGCGTGAGGAGGAGGGGCATTTTCCATCCTGCCCTCTGGTTGCTGACCTACAAAAAACACTACAGTTGACGAAGCCTGAGAGGAGGCAAGGAGAAGCTGGGGCGAGCAGCGGGGAGACCGGGGCCGAGCTCCTACTCTCTCCAGGACCTCAGTTTGCTCAGGGCTGTGGCTGGATGGGCTATATCTAAGCAAGAGCAAGGCAGGAACTGCGTCCTCTGAGACAAGCATGACTCCATCCCACACTCCTAAGCATGCGGTTTGGCCTGGGTCACCCCCACCACAGCTGAAACGTCCCTACATTTGGGGTTTCTGTGTTCGGAAGAGGTAGAACTCCCTCTGTAGGATCCCAGCCCCCGCACCCACTTGTCAGCGTGGAGCTCCGAACTTGGGGGAGCCTCGTGGAGTGGAAAGACCACACACTTAAAGTTTAAACCTAGCCTAGAACTGGGGGGCCTTGAGGGTCAGTTTCCTCTCCAGGGAAATGAGCAAATGCGTAAGAGGGTTGTTGCACAACTGAAACTAGGTTGCGTCAGGAAATGCTAGCCCCAGGTTGCATCAGGAAACGCTAGCAATGTGCTCTATGCAGAGTATCCCCCTCTCCCTTCCTCCTTCACCCCTTCTTTTCCGCAGAAGGAGAATTGATTCTTTCAAGGGAAGCTTCCTATTTCACTGTTGGCCACTGCTTCTAGTCAGTAACAAGGAGTTAAAAATGAGCTCTCGGGACAGGCAATTGTCTGCATGACTATCCTAGTCTGTCTCTTCTCCACAACTTCTAGAAAACGCTCCCTGTCTTCCCATCCACACTGATCTCCCTCTGCTCTGGTCTCTCCTGCTGGCCTGGGATGGGACTTTCAGTGTCATTTCTCTGCCTCCAGGCTCTGGAACAGGATGCAGGACGACGTAGGAGCACAGCACACAGCTATCGTGAGCAAGAGGCGACCGCCCCTGTAATAGACACCATCCGGATCCCTACTCAACAGTCTTCTCTAGTCTGCTGATTATAAAGATAGAGATTGTACGTTATACTTCATTTGTATTCCCCCTAGGGTTTTCATGGGTGCTTTCTGATTAATTAAAAATCTCTGCTTTGAATCTATCTACTGCCTACAATTCTTGGGATCTGTTAAAAAAAAAAAAAAAAGCAAACTAAAGTTAGCCATCACCATCTCCTTCCTCCAACCCGTACCTCACTATTGTTGAGAACTAGACCAGATAGTCAGTGGTCTGGCCCATGGACAGGAGACTCTCACCCATCCCCTCTGGCCCAACTAGACAAAGCCGTACAAGGCCACTGGTCAGCCTGGGACATAGGCTGAAGGAGGAGAAAAGGGAACGGTGGGGGGAGGGGGGGCAAGAAGTAGAAGAGGCAGAGGAAAGGAAGGGAAGGGAGAGGAGGTAACAGTAGATAACAAGAGGGTGGTAGGATCCCTGGGCTGGCCCTGTAGCTGCAAACTGTCCACTTCAGCTCGGCTCTGCCCAGCCACCCCCTCTCCAATCTTGGCTTCTCTATCCAGGTAGAACCCTGAGAGTGGTTGGGGTCGGAAAAGTCCTCAGGCTTCTCACGCCTCCTCCTCGATGCCCTCATCTTGGGCACGGCCATGGTGGCCATAGTCCCTCTGTGCCGCCCAGAGCTTTCTGGCTGCCTGCCCTCCCCCAGAGGCTCTCCAGGTGTACCTGTGCCTAATCTGTTAGTTTGATTAATGTGCACCAAGCCCAGGTTCCTGGGGCTTGTTTTCCCAAGGCATTAGGTGCTGACACAGCACAGGTTGAGGTCAAAGTCGGCCTGGCTCCTCTTGAGAACACGGGTGCAGCAATCTCTAGGCTCAGGAGCAAAAGCCGCCTCGCCTCCGGGGGCAATGAGGAAGCACAGCGTGAGATAAAAGGCCTCCAGGGAGTTATTAGCCTTGATTAGAGGCTGAAAAGACTATATTTGAAGAAATGTCTCCAAGTCTCCCACCCTGCCAATGACCTTCAGAAAGCCTTTCCCCAGAATACAGGGAGCCCCAGCTCAGCAGCCTGGGGCTACAGGCCTTTGTTATAATGCACAGGGTTTTAGGGGGTGAGGGTTACGTGGGGGGGGGGCACTCTCATCCCCTGATCCTGCTGGGGAGAGCATCTACCTAACTCTCAGCACAGGCTGCTATACAATTCCCCAAATCCCTACTGCTCCCCACTGAGGCCCATTCCTCTCCCATTCCCTACCCCTGGGGCAGCAGACAAGAAAGGAATGAGCCCATGTGGTATAGAGAGAAGTGCACAGAACCAGGACCCAGGAGCTTTCCCTTTGCCTGTGGCTGATGGAATGACCTAGAACAAATGCATCCTTGTCTCCACTACAGCAGAAGATCTTTGTGGATCTCCATGTCTCCCTCTCTTTCTAACATTTGCTGGTTCTACATTACTTAAGGCCTCAAAGGAATCTTGCACTCTGGTGGGAGTCGGGGTGAGCAGGAGAGCTGGCAGGCAGGAGGGAGGTGCCGCGGCCTGAACCCCATAGACCTTTCCTGGCCCCCTGAGAGTGAGCCCGACCTGCTGCGGGGTGGGCCCCTGAATGCATGCTTGAGAACTGTTGCTGCTGAAAGTCACCACCCCCATGGGGAGACAGGACCCCAGCCTCCAGGGAGAAAGCCGCATCTCACCTGTCTTTTTTCAGGCTTAGCCGAGGCTACTCCATCCATCTCAGCCGGAAGTAAAATCCACCCAGACTTTTCTTTCTCCCTCTCTCTCTTCTTAAGATGCTGGTGTTTGAACACCTTCTTGCTTCTTTCCTTGAACCTTGAGCCTGGGAAGGCAGCACGAGAGTGCTGGAGAGCAGTGGGGGCTAGCCCTGGAAGCTTGGAGTGCAAGATGCCACTGTGCCCCTCGCCTCTCCACACCTGCAGCTAGTCACTGCACACTGGGCCTCAGCTTCTAGTTCTTCTAGGTGGGGAATCAGGCCTGGCTCCTTGTGGTCTTTTTCCAGGGCTGGTGACAGCGGCGTCAAAGAAAATACACTGATCTACATTCTTCCACTCTCATTTCCCCTGCAGTCCAGAGCCCCAGATTTTTCAGGATGCCCTGTGCAGCTGGCCCCTGCAGGGTCATGATGAGACAATCTGGGGAGGGGAGAAAATTCAGGAGAGGAATTCCCCTATGGTCCGGCTGGGCAGCTGCTGGCCCGACCCCTTTGGCTCCCAGGGACAGCCAGTTTGGATCATGGGCTTCTGTTCAACTGCACGTCTGGCAGTCCCTAATTCATGGTCCAGACAAAGCACAATCCAGGAAATGAGATGATCTCCATGGAAAGAGAGCACAGACAAGCGTGGCTCATCGAGAAGGCAGAAGAACAGATGGCACGCTTCAAAATACCCCAACGTTTTGCTTTGGAAAATATGTCATGGGCAGGTTCTTTTCTTCCTTAGAGTTGTAATGCCTACCCCTCTTGGTTTTAAACTGACATTAGAATGACAACCTGTGAGGCCCAAGGGATGGAGGTACTGCAGACTCTTGAGAAGGCTCTCACCAGGGCCCTTGACAGACACTGTAGCACCCTTGTGCCCATTAGAAAGGACACATCCTCTTTAGAAAACTCAAGGTAGTTGATATATTGTTGCACTCTAGTTAGAGTGGCAGGGTGTTTTGCTGATGCATTCACCCTTCCAGGTTTGAGGATAGTTTGGGGATGGAACTGTGTCTCTGAGAGCCATAGGAGAGGAAAAGAGACAACACAGTGGGGTGTCTGGGGCATGGCAGGGACAAGGTGGTCTTGTGCATGTGTGTGTGCTAGTTTCTGTGTGCACAGTGGTTTGTGTTAATACCCCAGGACTTGGTTAGAAGCTCCAGATCTTCACAAACACCTATCGCCTCTCATATAAGTTAGAATACATCTGCAGTGGAAAGGGCATCCCCTTAGCTGTGGCATGCTTTAGCAGTGTGCAACCCAGAGAACTGTACATGGTGGCCCTGCATATCCCCAGAATTGAATGGTGGTAAGAGAGGGTTAATGCCTGGCCAGATTTTCCATTCCCAGCTCCTTCCGGAGCGGTAGAGCATTGTGGTTGATCACATAGACTTTGGAGTTATACTACTTCCAAGTTAATATACCAGCCCTCCGTTTTACTAGGAAAGTGATATGGGTCAGATTACTTATCCGTTTTAACCTCTGTTTTCCTAATCTGAAAACAGGAGATAATGGTACCTACCTCATAAATTATTTGGTGGATTAAGTGTGACAATCCATGTAACTTAAAGTTCCTGGCATGTACTAAAAGTATCAGTAAATGTTAGCTGATAATATTAATAGCTTAGCTTACACCAACAGAGAGCAGGTGTCTTTTAATGATCAAACCCTCAAAGAAAAAAAAGGCCTTTTTGAAGATTTTCATCTATTCAGAGATCTACCACTTTCTTTCTTTAGTCTTTCTTTTTTTCTTTTCTCTTTTTGGCCATTTGATCATTTTGGCATTTGAAGGATTAAAAATAAGTCAATTTGTCTAAGGACATGTTTGGATTGATTTTTTTAAATATCTTTTAAGAATTTTTAAATATATGTTTGTCGGAGCACCTGAGTGGCTCAGTCGGTTGAGTATCTGATTTTAGCTGAGGTCAAAATGAGAGTATAAATGAATTCCATACAAAGTAAAACACAGGGTGCGCTGCCCAAAGTTCTGCCTGCTGGAGAGAACTTCTTTAAAGTAGGAGATAAATTCCTATGAGAAAAATGCCCTTCTTTGTCCAGGTAATTTTCACTTCCTTCTCCTTCTGGTGAAGGAGGCTGCAGTACAGTACATGCATGATGGGTGCCCTCTTCGGGGTTTCCTGGCTCCATTTTAAATGAGGATTTCAGGGACGCTTGGGTGGCTTAGTCGGTTAAGCGTCCGACTTTCGCTTAGGTCATGATCTCGCGGTTCGTGGGTTTTAGCCCCTCTTCTGGCTCTGTGCTGACTGCCAGCTCAGAGCCTGGAGCCTGTTTCACAGTCTGTGTCTCCCTCTCTCTCTGACCCTCCCCTGCTCACGCTCTCTCTCTCTCTCTCTCTCTCTCTCTCCTAGAAATAAATTTTAAAAAAAAAAACATTTAAAAAAATTAAATGAGGATTTCAGGGGCGCCTGGGTCGCTCAGTCGGTTGAGCGTCCGACTTCAGCTCAGGTCATGATCTCACGGTTCGTGGGTTTGAGCCCCGCATCGGGTTCTGTGCTGACAGCTCAGAGCCTGGAGTCTGTCTTTGGATTCTGTGTCTCCCTCTCTCTCTGACCCTCCCCTGCTCACGCTGTCTCTTTCTCTCTCTCTCTCAGAAGTAAATAAAACATTAAAAAAAAATTTTTTTTAAATGAGGATTTCACAGCTTCTCCCTTTGAGTGGGGCCCGGAGCAGGAAGGGCTCAGCAGGGCACCCAGGCTGACATGGAAGAAGCCTTGCCTTTTAACATCAGAGGTACAGATGCTGGGGAAAGACGCTGCGTGGGGCCTATGGCCAGTCCCAGTGGAGGGTCACACCTAGTCCCATAGTCCCCTGGGGTTCGTGTGCAAACCATGCCATCTGCAGGGGAGATTCATGTGTCTTTGGACAACTCCTGGCGTGATACCGGGTCCTGGTGGGGTCGTAGCATGTGAGCACAGCACCCCAGAGTGTGCATCTGGAGGTGCCTATCATGAGCCAAGAGCGACTACACCCACCAAGTCATAGGTCCGTAGGTCAGCAGCCCTTCGTCCTACCTGGAGCGGTGCAGCTGGGACTGAGCACACTAAGGGCCGCAGGGCCCCAGGCTGCTGCCTGAGCCCGGCCTCACTTCAGCTACCGCTGTTGCACCCGCGCCCCCCACGCCCCCCCTCAATTCATGAAGGGCCACATGGGAGCAGACCTGATAAACCACGTGGCAGGGGGAGGCAAAATCCAAGGTTCATTTATAGACGAGCTGGTTCGATATGTGGGCTCAAGGGGAAAGCGGATAGTAGATACGTTACAAGGAGTGGCTTTGAAAACCACTTGGCAAGAGAAAGTCGCTCCCGCAGGCAGAACTTTGGGCAGCGCACCCTAGGATTTACTTTGTATGGAAGGGAAAATGGCCTGATGTTAGAACATAGAGGCCTGGATAGAGAAAGATTGAAAGATTGGTTGGAGACACGTGGATGGGTATGGAAGCGGCATGAAGTGCGAAGCTCTTTGTATCATGTGCTAATGCCCACCAGAGAGTGCCCACCATGGAAGAGACACCGAATTACCAAGCAGGCAGAGCGACTTGGTCATCTGACATCAGCCAACTCCAGGCACCGGCCACCACGCTGCTGGTACCAGGCACACATGAGGGATGTAGCCACAGTTTGAGGGTTGGGGCCATGCGCAGGATCCCACAAACAACATAGGCTCCTGTGAACCGAGGCTGCCTTTAGCCTGTTGCTACTGACCATCCAAGCCGCCAGCAGTGGAGCAGCCCCCCGCTCTCCCCCTCACCCCTCACCCCCAAATAACACCATTCCTCAAGGAGACCATCTGCTTTCTCAGTGGCAAGTTAATTATTTGGAGCCCCTTCCGTCTTGCAAGGGCTCACGATTCATTATCACAGGACAATGTCTATTCCAAGTAGCATCATAATGAAATAATCCCCATCAGTAAGAAATATGTTT